ACGACTTTAAGATGCTGATATGTGTATGCTGATGTTATCAAAATTGTTGTTGTCTTTGCAGAATAAATGCGCCGAGAGAATCCAAAAGGCGTTTCGCCGCCGTAAACTTAAAATAAAAAAACGAGAAGAGCTCAAACTCCAGGTATGAGATAGTAATGGCGATAGGTACAGAGTTAGTTGGCAAATTTGATCGTTTAACTTAATCGGGCGATTTTAATTTAGTTATAATGTAGATCTGATCCAAGTAGAATAGCTTCTTTTTAAGGCATTATTTGTTCCCTTTCGATTTCATGTTCTTATCAGGCAAATGGGTTCTTAATTTAACTTCATCAGTATATGACTGCTGCTTTTCTTTTGATAGATCAGAGCAGTTGGATTGTTGCAGAAAGCTTGGAGGGAACACCGAACCAAACGAAGGGTAATAATCTTTAGCATTAGCGTTTTAAATTTCTGTTATTTTATCTGTGGTCCATGTTTAACCTTTTATGATAATGCCTATAAGCAAAGAACGCAAAACGTGTACAATGTTGAAATGATCTTAAATTAGAATATTTCAGTTTAAACTACAATCTTCCCCTTCCCCCTTAATATATCTTTCGTATTCATGTGCGGCTCGCGTGTTATATAATCTAGCGAGATTTGAACTTGGCATTGGTACTTGGCGTGAACAATTTCGTGTACTCTTTTTAACTTAGTTTTTTTTTTCTTTGTCTATAAAAGATGATTTAGCGAGCCTTTTGATTGGTTGATTTTCTGTAATATCGGATACATTCATCACTATTAAATGCTGGGGCTTCGGTCATGGATGGCGAGCATTCCTTTGCAAAACTTACCCTACCCGTATCACAATTCTACGCATTGAACAAATAAATCAATGCTTTTTTTTTTTCATATTGATCTTTGCAAAGATGTGTAGAAAAAGAAACGGTGACAAGACCTCCATGTATCCTGACAAAATTCGTCGAGTAGAAAGTCTTTGGAGTGTTGATGATCGTGATTTTAAGTACCTGGTGAAGGTTCAAAAACTTGGGGAAGGAGGGTTTGGCGAGGTAGGAGATTCTGTGAAGGTTACTATTGATATTAAGTATACCCCGGTAATTACTCAGGAGATTGAAGATATGCACGCCCTCTGAAAGGCCCTTATAGAATGATTATTTTAAAATTTGACCCATGGTTCAGTCTATTTTCAATTTTTTAATGTCTTGGGGGAAGAAGGTTACCACGATCGATACTGAGTCGTTCGTCGTTTAGAGGACTGGGGATACCGGAAGTAAAGATTTTGTTAAGGACCAACTCGAAACAATGTGACAGTTGTTTAAAAAAAAAAAACACAACGGAAGACCAGCTGCCAGTATACAAAGTGTAGCCAAAGAGTTGAGGTATCATGGTTGAAGTAACGATTGAATTAACGTCGCAAATAACTGTTTAAAGTACTGCTAAGTAGAGTCTTTGATGCTTTTCTATCTTCTTCATATTTTAGGTCTCGCAATATTACTGCCGACAAACGCAGGCACATTACGCAGTTAAAACCTTTTTCAAGAAGAATGCTGAACATGCCTCAATGACATTGAAAGAAACGCTCATTCTCCTTCGCTTGGTTGGGAACTCCAGCATAACTCTGTTATGCCGGGCGTTTACCATCAGTGTGAGTGCTTTCTGAAACGTTATTAAGAATACATGCACAATGTTGGCTACAGGGAGAGAAAAACACGTTGATATTTAAGAATGTTTTCCTGGTGAGGCCATAGAGCTTCGTACATAGCACCAGTGGAGTACTCGGGGAGGCAAAAATAATTGTCCTGAGGGCTTCTTTACTGATTTTAAACTGAATGCAAGTTGAGCTTGTTACTGTCTCAGTCAGTTTCTATTTAGAGGGGGGTCTTCAAAGGATTTTGGGGGGTGTACATGGTCAGTTTTTAGGGGAACGGAGAGGGAATCAGTGGTCGTCAACAGAGTACAGAGGAGGAATTATAGAAAACTGATTGCCAATGAACTTCTAATGAGGAAGGATCATAATCATATTAAATACAGCTGTAACGCTGATGTCATTATACTAATTTGAATAACTTTGTTTTACAGCTCACAGAAACAGCCCTAGCGCTGGAGCTTGTTACCGGCGGTGATTTAGCTGGAGTTCTCAAAGCGGAGGGAGGAAGAGTGAGCGAACAACGCGCCAGGTAAGTTTTGTATGAACAGAGATTTTANAGAGATATAAAACCGGCAAATATCCTGGTAACCTCAAATGGCCACCTTAAACTGTCAGACTTCGGTCTGAGCGAAGTTGTCGCCTTTACAGTGACTGGCACATGTGGAACTTTTGCATATATGGCTCCTGAGGTACAAGACACTGTAGATTAGCAGATTACCTAGCTAAATCTTGGTTTAAATGGCTGGATTTTTTTTACTACTTCTTTAACTTTTCAGGAAAAATGAGTGTGAGTTGTGTTTTTCTCAATTCTCCATTGAAGATAAAATCACCGTAATGATGATAATATTTCCTCCCCTCAGTTTTAGTAAAAAAAGATAGTAGGGGACCCTTGCTAGAAGATCTTGATAAAGCCCTTGTTATCACAATGACTTTGAAAACACACTCATGCAGTTGAATGTATTTAATATAACGTGGCACCCTGATAATAACGATCACAAAAATTGTTACTGAATTAATGCGCTTTGATTTTTCAATGCTGATAAACTGCACTCAATCTGTGTTACAGATGATAATAGGAGAGCCATATACTTATTCCGTGGACTGGTGGTCCTTTGGAATAACTTTATTCCAGATGCTAACTGGTCAGGTTTGTACAAGTTATATTGCAACTAATTAAACTCAGACAGAACAAACTCGTTGGCAGCGTCAATTTAACGGTAATGACAGGAGCATTACACTCTCAACTTTTGAGTTCATTTGGAGACTATACACAATAACTGGCCCTACGGAAGGATACAAATGCTTGTGAATCAAACTTTTGACAAAGAAGTAATCATGACTTGTTCATTATCTTTCGTCCCGTGGGAAGAGGACACCTTCCCATGGCAAACATGGTAAGGGAAGACTCTACCCGAGACGGGGATCTATTTTAAGCTACAAATGTTTTTTAAAAAGGTTACGCAACGCTGTACATCAAATGCACAGTGAAAAGGGTTGGAAATCAATCAACGAAGAATTTGGAACGAAATTTGATGTTCGACAATTACGTATAAATCATCATCCTATTTGAATGGTTTATAGATACGTTTGAGTCCTTTGTAAGTTTGTGAAATGAGTGAAACCTGTATATGACAGAGGATTATATTTTGCATACTATGGCGAATGAAAAGGAAAAGGCCTGGGGATGACTGAGGAGCAAAACAACCTAAAAAGCATGACTCTCCCCTCCCCTCTGCCTCCTCTAAATTTATCTGACTTTCACCTAAAACAGGAAGACATATACGCATAAAGCCTAATTATTATAATATGATTGATTGTGAAACGAGCAGTATGCTTTGAATGATAAATGAAATATTTTCTTTTTTCTGTTTATTTTCCTACATACCTACTTATCAGCTACCATTTTATGATGACGAAGAGAGAAATTTGTTTGAAAACATCGTGTATACGACCCCTGACATCCCCGATTGGCTGGGAACTGAGGCCAGAGATTGTCTTTTAAAGGTCAGTAAACGAAACCCAAAGTTATGTGATTAAAGTAAATC